GGCGTTTGCCTATATTTCCTTCAATAAATTTGACTTGACTTGACTTGACAATGGAGAGCTCGGCTCGATCCCATCAAAGTGTGAAGCTGTTCTGCCTCCAAGCGAAATACACCAACTTTGTTTCACGTAAGACAGCTCCGCTCTTTGACGTCGCGATAATATTTTGGGACACGCACAGGAGACACTAGTGTGATGATTTGTGCACCTTCGTTGTCGGCTTTTGAAGGCGTCAAGAGGAGGCTAACTCGTAACCTTGGACCTCAGGTATCCAGCCTTTATCTTCGGATATTGAGAGAAAACATTTGGTCCTCCAGATCTTCTGCTGTATATTGTTTGGTAGGAAATGGAGCCTTCTCCTACTTTTGTACCACGGTTACTAATATTTTAAAGAAGCTGTCTTAGGAATTGCAATTCAATGTTGTTTTACATGGGGATGTAATTGACGGACGCCTGTGGAGGTTGCTGCTCTCCTGCAAGTTACTCTGATGTTTATCCTAGTTCTGTGCTTATACATCAGGTCGAATCATAGCAGCTTCGACGGCTTCCCACCATTCGGTCTAATTTTTAAAACAGGGAGCTGTAAAAGTGCGACACCTCTCCTTTGATTGTGTCCTTTTCTTTTTTGTATGCAGATATTTGACTTATTCAGCCAGTCCCCGAAACTGTTGTACCACTTTAAACCGGTGGAAGGGAAGTTCTCTGACGCGACTTTCATTCGTCGGCCCAACGGACCCCGGACCAAAGACCAACCTGAAGCATTGACTGAAACAGACAGCCTGTTGGACGTCATCCTCGTAGTGATTTCCACGTTTGGGTCAATAATAACCCAGGTCAGTATCTTAGTACTTCTTATCCTTCCTTTGTTTTTCACTTAACATTGTTGCATTGGTCGGTACTGATCTTATCAGTTATCCTAATTGTGTCACTGTTAGATAACAACTTATATAATTTAAGTAGTTATTTGATAATGCGATATTAAGTCTGTTCAATCTATCTTCAGGTACTTCTGTTTAGCTTCTGTGCTTACAACTAGGGCTGTGAGGTAGTGCTGATAGATAACTGGTTAGGGCATTTTGACAAAGCCTTTGAGTCACCAAGCCGGACCCACATACGGTAACTGTTGTGCCTGTTTTCTGAACTACTTTGCACTCCATTTTTTTTTCCGGACAGAGCCTGATACCCGAAACTCAGATCTCCCACGGTCAGTACTACCTCTATGATTGGCTGGAGTGGAATCCGGAGACGGTGTCTGCGGGTGCCGCTTCCAGCCTTCAACGTGACCCACGCACCGGAACTCTCGGTGGCGGCGGAGTCTGTGTTTACTATGCGGCCTCTCTCTGCCTGCTTCTACACTCCTACCACAGCGGACACACTGTCGCCAGTGCGCTGGAATTTTCCACCATCACCAACAGCAGCGGCACCGAAGCCAATTCTTCTGCTAATCTCATCAAGGTCAAGCACTCCTTCCTCCTGACTACGGATACTGCACCCGTCAAATTACCCTCTTCACCGTCACACAGGTGGGTGCGCTTGATGCCTGCAGTCTCTGCGCTTTTACTCCACCCGCTTCCAACTGTTTGCACTCAGTTCTACGTAGGTTCTCCTGTGTACTGTGGGTTAGACGACTGTGGCCTTCCATTGCTACCCCCGTAGGTGAGTTCTTGTTGGGGGGAAATACGGAGAATCTCTTTATCGTGTAGGCAGCTAGGCGAAAAAAGGACAAGACAGCCAGTTTCTGAGAGCAATAACTTTATTCAAGGCCTGCAGAAACAGCGGATTCCTAGCTTGTCAACTCTAGCTTATTTATGGGTGCTCTGGCCATTCTCGAACATTGCTGCCAATGGCGTACGATTAGCGTTCTGTAATATTCCGGGCCCGCGGGGTGGCGTTCACTATTTGCCCGGCTCTTCAACGGACATCACTAGCGGGGAAAATATCGACTTATCACTCTGCGGTACGCGTGAGTAGATGCATCACGCGTGGTAGATCCTGCCGTGCACGCTAGTTGGCTT